TTTTCTTGATTGATTCCACTTACCAAAGCTGAATCAAGACAAGGTAAATCAATTAAATACAGAAATTAAATACAGAAATTGTGGTACATCTACACAATGGAGTATTACTCTGCAATGAAAAATAAGGAAATCATGAAATTTGCAGGTAAATGGTGGGACCTGGAAAGGATTATCCTGAGTGAGCTGTCCCAGAAGCAGAAAGACACACATGGTATATACTCACTCATATAGACATAACATAGGATAAACCTACTAAAATCTGTACATCTAAGGAAACTAATCCAGAGAGAGGACCCTGACTAAAATGCTCAATCCCCACCCAGAAAGGCAAAGAGGATGGACATCAGAAGAAGAAGAAAACAGGAAAAAAACCTATAAACCTGTCACAGAGGGCCTCTGAAAGGCTCTGCCCTGCAGATTATCAAAGTAGAAGCTGAGACTTATGGCCAACTGTTGGGCAGAGTGCATGGAATCTTATGTAAAAAATGGGAAATAATAAGAGCTGGAGAGGACAGGAACCCCACAAGGAGAACAACAGGGAGAGCAACAGAACTAGAAAATTTGAACACAGGGGTCTTCCCAGAGACTCATACTCCAACCAAGTACCATACATGGAGATAACCTAGAACCCCTGCACAGATGTAACCCATGGCAGTTTAGTGTCCAAGTGGGTTACATTGTAATGGGAAGAGGTACTGCCTCTGACATAATCTGATTGGCCTGCTTTTTGATCACCTCCCCCTGAGGGGGGAGCAGCCTTACCAGGACACAGAAGATGACAATGTAGCCACTCTTGATGAGATCTGATAGACTAAGATCAGAAGGAAGGAGAAGAAGACCTCCCTTATCAGTGGACTTGGGGAAGGGCATGTGTGAAGAAGGGGGAGGGAGGCTGGGGCTGGGAGGGGAGGAGGGAAGGGTTTATGGGGTGGATACAAAGTGAATAAAATGTAATTAATAAAATTAAATTAAATTAAAAAAAAAGATTTTCTGCATTCTGCCCAAAGTTTGGCTATGAGTGTTAGCATCTGCTTTGGTTTCTTTTTTAAGGTAAGAGATTGGAAACCTAAAAGCACCAGCCTCTTTAGAGTTGTTTTTAAAGGTCAGTAGTAGATTTCATGGGTTACTGGACTAAGAAATGATACATACGACACAGCTTCTTGTTAAAGTAGAAATCCCTTCAACAAAGTCTGGTAATCTCAAAAACGTAAAACTAACATTTCATATGTAGTAGAAAGAGACCCATAACCAAATGCTTAGGACCAGATGGGTTTCAGTGTTTACGTTTTGGAATATCTGCATACATATGGTATTTTGGGGTTGAGATTCAAGTCTACTTAGGAAATTTAATATACACACAGCCTGAAGGCAGTTTTAAACAGTGTTTTCAATGTACATATACTTTCACTATTACCTGGGTACAAGGTGTCCAACTCTGTACTTGTGGTATTATACCAATGTTCAAAAAATTCACAACTTTTGGTCATTTTAGATTTGAGAATTTTAGATTCTGTATGATTAATATGTATTTTTTTATTAATGATTGGAGGATGGAATATAAAACATACGGAATAAGTTTAATTTCAAATCTATACCTTACACAGTAAGGTATAGATTCAGTAAGGTATAGATTAAACAATAAGATAGTACTTACACTCTACTTCATAGTATTCTTCTGTAATCAAAATCAGTGCTGATGTACCTTTTGATTTAGAATAAAAGATGGGTAGGTGCCAAAGAATAACACCAAGAACACAGTAAGTGAAGAGAAATTATACACTAGCTACAACTACCTGTGTGTACATGTATGAGTATATACTATATATACATGATGTTCTAAAAGACAAAGCACGAAAAAGAGGAAGATCTTCCTAAATTCCTTATCTGCCAACAGAAATCTCAGTTGTACTTGTCGCTGGAAATTCACATTTACAGTGATGTTCACATATGACAGTTCCTGGAAAAGATGTGGATGGAGTACACGAGAAGCCAGCAATCAAGCAAATACAGGAGCTAACCTTATTCATTGGTATGGACCAAAGACCCTCAGTGGGTATCTGAAGCTGCAAACAATATCAAACCTTATATATGCTGTTTTTTCTTATGCATATATACTTACTGGTAAAGGTTAATTCATAAATCAAGTACAGTAAGAAAGTAACAATGAGTAACAAATAAATAATAGCAAAATACTGCAATAAAAGTTGTTAACAGTGCCTCTCATAATCTCACTGTACGATACTGATCCTTGTGATAAAGTGAGGTACTACAATGCCTGAAACAAAGTGTGGGTTTAATGATGTAGGCAATATGATGTATGATGTAAAGAACACTTGAATACAGCACTCTGCTGGTATAATGTTCTTTTGAAATATATACACCTTACCCTTGTTCATTCAAATGCTGATTTCTCTCCCCAACTCTCTGGTTTCAATCCAGACATTGCATTGTGATACTTATTCTAAGCATCACCTGTCTCAATTTTGTGAAAACATGCCAAAATAAAACAACTAGCCACAATGTTGAGCAATAGAAAGGAAGCAGGAAGAGAGGGAGGAGCCAGAAGACAGAAAGGTGGGGTGAAGGGAGAGAGAGCTGGGAGAACAGAGGCAGGAGAAAGATCTTGGAACAATGTGGAGAATAAACCAGACCTAAGATTTCACAAAAAGCAAGTATAATGGGTGAAATCTAAATGTTAGGAAACTATGAGGGCTTGGAGGGTTAGGAGAAGAAACTGTTGCCTAGCATTGTGTTCTAGGTTAACTAAATAAATCCCAGTCTCTGTGTGGTGATTTGGTTATACAGCTGTTTAGGATTAACAGCAGCTTTACCAGAAGATATATTAATAGTAAATATTAATCGAGACCTACAACAGCATTCTGATACCACAAAAGTAAACGTCAGTTCCTGACTACCAGGCAGGTGGCATGTAGTGTGGTCAGTTAGGAACAGAGTGTAGCTTCATTATGCTACTCAGAATGCTGTGCCACTCAAAAGGTAAACTATTTACTTTTGAAGCTTTTTCAATCAATATTTTCAGACTGTGATGGTACGTAGAGGAAAGTAAAATCACAGGTTTAGGAGTCTGTGGAGTCTGCACCAGACTATGACTTGAGCTTCTAAAGGCAGGTCTGGAGTTGTTTCTTTCTCATTGTATGGGCCTGAGTAAATACTTGCAACTTGTTTCCTATGTGTAAGGATGGAACCAAGGATGGAACCACGCCAAAGAAGAAAGAGGTATTCAGCAATCTTGTTTGTATTTCCGAGATACAATGAAATCATTTCAGCTTCCACCTGAACTTTAGCTAGCACTAGTCAAAAGGACCCAGCATAGGAAATTAATGAATCTGAGTCTATTACTAAGCTTCATACCTTAGAATCTCTTGATGCACAATCTACTCACTTTTCACTTGCCAACTAGCACAGTATTACTAGAATACTAAGTTCTTACTTACTAGAATACTAAGTTCTCTATTAAGAGAACTTCATATGGCATTACAGGCAACCTTAACCAATACAAAATACACTCTGTTTACAAGAAAAGTTACAATCACAAGAAAATCAACTTCATGTTCAAATTCTTAACATAGTCTTATGACACATTCTTGTAAAAGATCAAACTTCAATGTCAGGATGCAGCTCAGTGAGAACCCTTATGATGTCCAGAACCCTGGGTTCAATTTCCAGCACCAAAGAAGGAAAAGCTTATAACATATCATTCCAATATTAACAAGTTTATTTGATATAGTTTATGGATTTAAATGTTTAATTCAAAGTAATTTACTTACAACTAATGATAATTTGCCCAGCTGATATTTTATTCTATTATAATTTATATAATAAAAAATAAATAAACAAGATTTTGGAAGGTGCTATTCACAGATTTGTACACAGGCTTCTCAATTTTATATAAGAAGTCCATCACTCGTTAGTCATGCAAAATAGATTTAAAAGTTTATTTCAGTATGCAATCAGTATACACAAATAAGCAGTAGTATTAATAACTTTTAAGTTTGAATAGTTTTCTATATTTGACTATCACAAAAAAAGTATAAACATTGCAAACATGAACAAAATGGAAAACAGATTAGATGAAGAAAACAATTTTGTAAAGAGACAAGACTTCTAAATTAAAGATTATTTTGTATAAAAAAATTATCAGCATGAAAGCTACCCACCTGAAACTTCAAAAGGTTTAAACAAACAAACAAAAAACAGTCAGCATTTGATCAACTACTGAAACAGTTATTGTACCAAACTGAGCTTTTGTAACTGCACAGGAAAAGTTTGCGGCTTGTATTTCTGTGTACAGATTTTTCTATAACTTTATCACCTAACTTCTTTTCTTCTGATTTTATTTTATTATGCAAATTCTAGCATGTTAACCTAGGTCTTTTTTTTGGAAGTAGTAGAGATTAAATAATACAACATAATTCCACTCCCTGCTTACTAAATTAAGGAGATTAAAATTATCTGCAATAAAGCAAAGAACACCTAGCTCTTATACTAACTTTTGAATTAAATCACCAAAATCGGGCATTTCTTCTAATTTCTTTCTAACATTTAAGCACTTGGTGACCAGCTTTTAGAGGTAACTAGAAAAGATGCATTCTGCTGTCAGTGGCCAGAGTGGACAGAGGAAGGAAAAAGAACAGGATGGAGAACTCAATTCTCATCCCTGTTCCCTTTCAACTGTACACATAGCTACCGTATCAAAAGAAAGAAAAAGCAAAATTCTCAAAACATTCACTGTTACTTTAAAAACAGATTCGAACTAGGACTTGGAGAAAGTTACTCAGCCATGTAAACTGGAGGCTGCAGGTGCCAGGCAGTGTCCAGGCAACAGGGTGTATAATTCTAGTACTTGAGAGACAGAAGATATAGGGAACAGAAGGTACTTTAACTACATAGTAAATTCTGGGCCAGCCGTGGCTACATGAAACCTTGTCTCAAAACAAACAAAAAAGGTGTCCACTACAATTAGCCTATCCCTTCCTTACCTTCCATTGCAGAGCAGCCATCGCGCAAGAGAATAGTGAGGTATAATCTTCTGCATGACACTAGCCATCACCATAGTAACAACCAGCTGTATACCTATCACACCCTATGTGAAAAAAGAAACAAATTAACAATAAATTGTTAATGTTGCAGACCCTGCTGGAAAACTCTCTATACATTTTGAAAATTATATTTTTAAGAAAACAGACTTTAACATTAAAATAGCTTGTCCTTGTAGCATTTGGTCTTCAAGAATTCATACTTAGTTTAAACTTATCAGTATGGGTGTCATTTCCATAATCCTCTTCAAATCACCAAAGTAACACAACTAAAAGAGACTAAATTTTGTTCCCAAGAAATATTCTATAAATAAAGAATATCTGGCCAGTTCTGGTGAAAGTTCTATGAAGTGTTGAGAAGATGGTATATTCTTTTGTTTGGGAAAAATATTCTGTAAATATGTTAGGTTTATTTGGTTTTCAACATCAGTTAGCTTCAGCATTTCTCTGTTTAGTGCTTGTCTAGATGAGTGCTTTACTGTTGAGGATGGGGTAGTAAAATCTCCCACTACCAATATGTGAGGGTCAATATGTGAGTTAAGCTTAGTGTTTCCTTTACTAACTTGAGCATCCTTATGTATGGTGCAGAGATGTTAAGAAGTTAAATGTCTTTCTGAGTGAGGGTTGATCATCTTACCCAGGGACCTCCTTGCTTAGCTTCTTTAGGTGTACAGATTTTGGTATGTTTATCCTACGTTAAATGTCTAGTATCTACTTATGAGTGTATACCGTGTATATCTTTCTGTTTCTGGGATACTTCACTCAGGATGATCTTTTCTAGATCTCAGCATTTGCCTGCAAATTTCATGATTTCCTTGTTTTTAATTGCTGACTAGTATCCCATTGTGTATATGTATCAGAATTTCTGTATCCATTCCTCCTTGAGGGGCATCTGGGTTGTTTCAGGACAGGAGCCTACCACTGAGGACCTCTGAAAGACTCTTCCTGTTAGTGTATCAAAGCACATGCTGAGAATCTTATCCAAACTTTGGGCAGAGTACAGGGAATTCTATGAAAGAAGGGGAGATAGCAGAGCCTGGAGAGGTCAGAAGCTCCACAAGGAGAGCAACAGAACCAAAATATCTGGGCACTGTGGTCTTTTTTAAGACTGATACTCCAAACAAGGACCATTCATGGATATAACCTAGAACCCTTGCACAGATGTACCCCATGGCTGCTCATTTTCCACGAAGGGGAACAAGGACTCTCTCTGACATAAACTCAGTGGTGGGCTCTTTGACCACACATCCCCCTCCATGAGTAGGGAGCAGCCTTGCCAGGCCACAGAGGAGGACAATGCAGCCAATCCTGATGAGACCTGATAAGCTAGGGTCAGATGGAAAGTGAGAAGGACCTCCCCTATCAGTGGACTTAGAGAGGGGAATGGGACAAGATGTCGAGGGAGGGAGGAAGGGAAGGATGGAGGGTGGAATTGGGAGGAAATGAGGGAGCAAGCTACAGCTGGGATACAAAGTGAATAAACTGTAATAATATAAAAAAAATTACTTATAAAATAAAATACACTAAAGCAAAAAAAAAAAAAGGTTAAATGTCATCTTGGTGGATATTTCCTTTGATGAGTATGTTGCACCCTTTCCTGTATCTTCTGATTAGTTTTGGTTTGAAGTCTATTTATTTAGTCAGATATTAAAATGGCTACAACAGCTTGCTTCTTACATCTATTTGCTTGAAAGATCTTTTCTATCCTTTTATCCTGAGATAGTGTCTATCCTTGATGTTAAGGTGTGATTCTGATGCTGTAGAAGACGGATTCTGTTCTGCACTCACTCTGTTAGTCTGTGTCCTATTACTGGGGAACTGAAACAACTAATGTTGAGAGATATCAATGAGCAGTGTATGTTGATTCCTCTGTGTGTTTATTCTCCTCCTCTTTTGGTTGCTGTTGTAGGATTATTATTTTTTGCATTTTGTTGGGTGTGGATAACTTCTTTAGGTTGAAATTTTCCTTCTTGTGGCTTCTGTTTTGTTAAAATTGGTTTCTTGTGGATTGCCTCATTTTCTCCATCTTTTGTGATTGAAAACAACCCAGGCTGTTGCCAAAACTACAGGTTGCTCTTTACAAACTGATGGCAAGGCCCTATTTCCAAAGACAACACCTACAAAACTCACTGGATATGTAGAAGTCTTACAGCTGCCTACATAGATAAAGCCTTTTAAATGTTAGCATCTTTGGTAAAAGAAGATACTCTGGTACAAAGGAGAAATGAAAACACCAACCCAGCTACAAACCCTTTGATCTACAATACTGTCCTGCCTACAAGGCATGCTAGTGCAGTGGAATACAAAGCTTCTGGGAGTAACCAACCAATATCTGATTTGACTTTAGGCCCACTGCATGAGATGGAACTCACACCTGGCCCTGCTTAGGTGACCAAGAATCTGAGGGACCTAGGGGCAAACCACACATTACCATCTTATTAAAACGACTTCTTATGACATTGTGCTATCCTTGTAGATCATTGCCTTGATCAGTTATCATCAGAGAAGCTTCCCCCTGCAGCAGGTGGGAATAAATCCAGAGATTCATAGCCAGACATTACACAGAGAGTGAGAGACCTTGGAACATTTAGTCCTAAATGGGATGGCTCCATCAAATCCCTCCCCTCAGGGTTCAGGGAACCTTGCAGAAAAGGAGACAGAAAGAGTGTAACAACAGAAGGGATGGAGGACACCAAGGAAACAAGGCCCTCTACATCAACAGGATTCAAGCTCATATGAACATACAGAGACTGAGGCAGCATGCAGAAAGCCTGCACAGGTCTGCACCAGCTAGGGTCCTAGAGCTGAAAGGAGAAGTTGACACATGCGCCATCCTTAACCCAGAAGCAATATCCAAGGGATAACAACTTGCAAACAAAAATTTATTTTTCTCTAAGGAGGTCTCACTGGAGAAACAAACTACTCTGTATGCCCAGCAGTAGATGGCCAACACAAAATGAACTCAGGCTTCTTCAGAGGTTCCTCGTCTCATAACATTGTGTCAGCGCATTTTTAAATTTTTATCTTAAAAATATATATTATCTTTAAAAATATTACATGTATATAATCTTTACCTATAGGTTCTTTGTGTATGTATTTATGACTTCCAGTTTATCAGTTTTCTTTTTAATGTGATTCCTAAGTAACAAGTAAGTCTCCATGTCCATTATCTGTTTCTTTTGACTTTCCCTAGGCTCTTTTCCTTCTGTTTGTCTTGCACCATTCCAATGGGTTAGTTTTTGTTTTATCTTATCATATTTTATTTCATCTTACTTTATTACTACCTTTTAGAAGCCTGTTTATTTTCCAATTAGAGATACAAAGGAAGCAGATCAGGACAGGACAGGAGGTGGGGAAGAACTGGAAGGAATAGAGGGAGGAAAACTGTAATCAGGATATATTATTTGAGGAAAAAAAAAACCTACTTACAAGAAAAAGAAAAAACAATAAACCAAAGGAATGAAATATGGTGAATGTATTGGTTTCATCTTTCTCTAATTCACTTAACAATGAATGAAGACACCAAACTTTAAAACCAGCAGGGTGGACTTCATGGCAAATACCTTTACTCCCAGCACTCAGGGGGCAGAGGCACAAGTCTACATAGTGAGACCCTGTCTCCAAAGACATAAAAAGAGTAGTATATGCAAAGCCAGGCATGGTGGTAAGTAATGAAGGAAGCTGAGGCAGGAAGACTGTGAGTCAGAAGCAAAGCTCAATAATCCCATCTCTTAAAACAAAACTTTAAACAAAAAAACAAAACAAACAAGCTAAAGACAACTTTGGAATTCATGACTGATTCATCAAAGTAAATGTAAAGAACATTAAGTGAAGGAATGTCATAGCAGAACTCTGATTTTTCTCATCAACTCCTGGATGTGTGTGACTTCAACACACCACTCAAACACTCTGCACCTTTGTTTCCTCATCCATAAAACAACTAATTGAATCAACTGCACTGAACTTGCTACAGAGTAAGAACTAGGTTGGTTACAACCACTGGAAGACAGTTTCTCAAAGGAGTGGAGAGGTGGTTCTTAAACAGGACTACTTTTAAAAGGTCTATCAAATGTATTTCAACTCTGCTCTATTTGTACATGTTAAATTCAGGCATATGGATTAAAGGTAGGGCATCTTTCATTTGACTTCACATTTGTACTTCACTTTTTTTTCCTATAGTTTGTAACCAGAATTCTGCAATCTCTATACCCTAAATATAATCACAGAAAGCTCTCCATCAGTATATCTGGTTGATTTATTTGAAATTAGCGGCAAAGAAGTTTTGAGATAGTAAAGTGCTGTAACAAAGTGAGCCTCACTCAACCTTACCTTGAAAATGGGATGGCAGCCTGGAGTCATCAAGGTCTGCAGTACAGCCACTCAAAGACATGCTGACAATTCAACAGTACACAGTCAGTCATTCTTGTCTTCAAGGGTAAAACCGTATTTTAGTACTGCTATAAAATGCTATTGTGCGAAGACTGATTTAGAAGATGTATATGATAAGACTATGATAAACTGAGGGATTTCATTCCTTCTTCAAATCATAAACTGTAGTGAAATGCTCCTAACAGCTTTACTGTTAGAGATGCAAACTATGTAAGGTACAAAAAATCCAGCAAAACCCAGAGAAACAGACTTAACAATCCAGACTCCAAAATAATGACACTGTACCTTTGGTATGCAGAGAAGAAAAGCATTCTAGAGATGATGTTGAAAAATCCAGAGATTGATCAAATGTGGAGGCAAAGAGAGAATTAGGAAGACTGACCTTGAGAATGGCAAATGCTATAAGAAACATGGAATACTCTCAGTATTGGAACTGTACACACTGTTCAATGCAAAAACATAACTCTCTTCTGTTCAATTTATTGTCTCTTTCCTCTTCAGAAATAAAACTAAAAATAGCTTTCCCAAATCTCATCTACACACTGTGCTAAACACATTATTACATGTCAAGAATCTTTCAACTTTCTAAAAGAAATCAATACAAGTCTCTCCTAGAACGTGTTAGACGACTACATATGGGATACAAAAAGGAAAAGCTATTGTTACCCTACAGCAAAAATCTACACAAAGAGGTCATTTAAAAATTATGTGAAAAATATTTTATCATAGTTAGTTCTTTTCATATATACAGAAAAGAGGTATACTGTCAGAATTGTAATTCTGGAGAACTGTCTCATTAATTTACTATTTTACTAGTACTAACTTTGACCAAGTTTTAAGGCATGAGCAATTATAGTATTATCAGATTTGAATTTTAAAGTCTCTTAAATGTTCTGAATATTTTTCATTATTCTTTAACAAAGAATATTTAAATAAATTCAACGAAAAAGTTAAACAAATTTCACAACACAGAACTTTTAAACTGATGTACCTATGCTACAATCACAGCTGAATCTCCAACATGACACCATGTAGCCTTCCTGGTTTTATTAATGCCTGAAAACAATAACTTGGCCAAACAAATAGTTTCTACCTGGATTCACTGCCTCTAGGTTCAGAATCCCTTGACAACTGGAACTGGGAAATTAATCCATAAAACAGTTAAGGAACCAAGAGGGGTGAAGGCTGTGGTAACTTGGGTTGAACCTTTCCAAGTCTACTAACCTGAGGCCATGGAGAGCAAGCAAAAGTTATGTCTAGAAGAATGATCATTTCAAGTTTTGTTAGTAATAGTTTCTAAGTAGGTTAAAAAAAAATCTTACCAATGAAAATAAAGTAATTCCCCAAGAAATTATATATACCTAATACTAATAGTTTCTTTTGCTTGTCAACAAAACTTCAATTGTGATATACAAACATGCTGTAATTTTAAATTTCAAACTTTGAAAACGATGTCACCCTGAGTGGAGCTGACATGTTATGTTTCATTAAAGTAGCTCTCCTGAGAACAAATTGAAAGGAAACATACACTGTTTACTTTTAGAAGGTGTAATTGCATGTAAACTTCGGACTCATATCACCCCCAAATGGTTTCAATTACCATCTTCCTGAGTAAGTTAGGCAACAGAAAGGAGAAAGGCTATTACCCGTCAACCTTCCTCCCCTTTTTTGTTTGTTTCTCAACTGTTTAAAACATTTTAGGGACTGATGGCAAGACATACTCTTAAACATGAGAAAAATTTTTACTCCAAAAGTACAGGAAACTTGTCATTTCAACCTTGATTAATAAAAAAAAGTAAGAATTCACACTGCAAGTATTTAAACAAACCGTTTCTAGACAATTAATAAAAGGAAGCAGAATCCCATAAGTACCTGGTTATGGACTTAACTAGAAAACAGTCACTTAATTTCAAATTTAATGGTTCTTCTAGTAAAATCTACTGAGCTCACTTAATTACAATGTATTCAGGAGTAAGCTACTATATGGTGCTTTGGCTATGTGTGCAAGAATATGTGTGTGATCTTGACCTTTGAGCAGTTAGCACATACCTTACATGAGAGATACATATTCCATTCGAAAGCAATAAGAGGATAGGAAGTCTAAAATAACACACAAAGGGGAGAGAAGTTGAGAACAAAACTACCAAAGGTCACTTTGCAAAGTAAAGAATTATTCAAGAGTAGCTTGGTCAATTGAGTGCTAACTAATCTGGGAGGCCAAGCCAGTTATTGAAAGGTGAGACTATCAGATTTAAAATTTTAACCTTAATGCTAAAATAACCATGAAAAGTAGTATGACATGATGAGGAGTTAATAAAAGTTCCTCAGGATACTAAGAATTAATGAGGAAGAGCCCTGAAGCACAAAGACAATTGGTTCAAATGTGAGCAGAGGACTAAGTTCAAGAAGGAAGCAGGGCAGCAGTATCTTTTAGCTTAGTGACAAGAACCATGTCTATGTCTATGTATCTGTGCTGCCACTCAAAGGTAATTTAATTATTTCAAACAGTAACAAAGCACTACAAAACAAATTATATCATCACAGAAATAAGTATAGCTCTAAAAAGCAAAAATACACTGTCTTGTTGATTATAGAGACACATGCCTCTAATCTCAGAAAGCTGAAGCAGGAAGACTGTAAGTTTGAGGCTAGGCTTGGCTACAGAAAGTTGGTCTTCTGCCTGGGCTACACAGTGAAACCTGTTTCAACACAAAACTTCAAAAAACTCTCTAATATACAGCTGTTATTTTGCTGGCTGTGATCAGGGACTTTGCACAAAAATTTGTGTTTTTACTGACAATTACACCCCCAGCACTCAAAGCAATATGATTAGAATAGTTTAGGGAACATAGTAGGTACAGCATGTGATAGCTGAATGAACGAAATCACTGTAAAGACTCAGTATTAACACTTAGGCACAAAACTTGTACAGTATAAGAAAATGTTACAGAAATTTTAAAACTACCTAGAAGTAACCTACCCACAAGCCTTTAATCTCTGCATTTGAGAGGTAGGCAGATCTCTGCGAAATTCAGGCCTGCTTGGTCTACAAAGCAAGCTCCAGGACAGCCAAGGCTACACAAAGAAACCCTGTCTCAAAAACCGAACCAAACCAAACCAAATGAACAAACAAACAAACAAAAAAAAAAAAAAAAAAGGAGGGGGGGGGACATAAGATGGAAATTGTAATCTCACAGACAAATAAAAGGAAGGAAATTCCAGGCTAAATGACAAGCATAAATGTGTGTGTGTGTGTGCGTATTATCACAAATTTTAGATGAGCAAGAACCTTTAAAACACAGGAGTTCTAGGTTGAATATAAAATGTTCCCTCAAAAAGGATTCACCTCCAGGTAATGGCTGATCTAATCACTGAGATGTAAATGATGTAAATGATAATGAAGGCTCAAATTTATTCAACAGACAATCCACTATGTCTTCGCAACATGATGGCATTACTGGGAGGGGGCAGAAACTAAGAGGTGGTGGGCACTAACTTGAGGACAGAAATCCATAAGGCTGAGTCTTTAAAAGGCACAATTTGTTCCTAGCGCTTTCCCACCTGCCTGTCTTCTCTCTGCAATGAAATGTGCCCTCCTGCCTCACCACACCATCAGAAACACGGGAGCAATTGGTAGGGACTGATACTTGTAACACTGTAAGCCAAAGGAAATCTTCTTTCTTTTAAAATGCTTTTGTAGCTAGTCGTATCAGGTATTTTGTCATAGCAACAAAATGTCTAACATGATGTATTTAACTTTCATTTCCTGTTGGAAAAAAATATCACTTTGGAAGTCTAGTCAGAAATAGGGTAATAAACATTATGTATACAAAATTAGACATATTAGTAAATTGCTTAATCAAAAAGAAAATCTAAGACAAAAAGGCAGTCAAAACTAGAAGGTATGAACAGAGAGAGACCATTCCAGAAGAAACTGAGTATAAAGGAAAACGGGAGAATACAACAAGGAGGGCTCATGGTATATCAAAATGTTCCCTTTTGGGTGGCTGGTAGAGATAAGAAAGTCATAGGCTGCAAGAAGCAGCTGGCAAACCTCAGAGAGGCTTCCCAAGAACACTTGGCTGCAGCCCCAGCTTTTCAAAAATTACGTGTTGAATGGTGTGGTAAGGATAATCAATCTGCTTGAGACAGGTCTGTAAAAGTGCTATGACTTCATTTACAGGAAAATGGAAGCTAACAAGCATATCAGGCATTGCATTTCCTAAGGACCAATTCAATTATGGTCTTAATGTATGAGTTACACGAGTAACCAAAAGAACAGGCTGCTTGGTGAATTTAGTACAGAAAACAGCAAGTACCAAAGAAGGACATTTCACTCAGGCAAAGCTTAAGAGTGATGAAAAATGTATACACAGTAGACCTTTGTAGTGTGAAAAACATTCAACCCTAAATAGTTCTGAAAAAAAAATGTTTTAACTGAATATTATAACTTTTTCTTTAGACTTCCAACTGATAGCAGAAACCTGATTGCTATTTAGATTTAAAAAACTAATGAAACATTACCCCTTTTGATTAGGTAAATACAACCGAAAAGGCTACACTCTAGACTTCATAGGCCAAAGAACCAAATCGTATCTAAGTTCAATGTTTAGGGACACAATATTTCTTTTGTCATATGCTGATTTCAAGCAACTCTGGAAATGCTAACCACCCCTCACCAACACCTGCAAATAAAAGGTGCTAAATCTTAAGTTAAACATCACTATCCAGTTTAGGAACCCTCTAAGTTTAGGAAATAAATTACATCTACAAAGATGGCCTAAGAAAGGCTGGTTCAAGGAATGACATTTGACCCACTCCAGTCTGGACACCAAGTAAGCTGACAGCAGATCCACTCCTCTCCTTCTCCCCCCAGATCTCATCAGAAAGATCTTCTCCAACCTTCCTTCCCCCAATCATCCTAGTACCCCTGCCTCCATTACCAGCAGGCATCACTGGGAACACAATAGCTGAGTAGGGCCACGCACAAAGTTAAGCCAAC